TGTCTGACCGATAATTTTTACTTTGACAATTCTATGCTCTCGGGTTGGGTCGTGACATAAAGCTTGAGTTGGGGGTAGTGGTGCCGATCGACGAAGATTTTGGGCCTCCTAAGAAATAAGAAAGGGTGTTTAGAGGGTGGAATGGTAGGGCGACACCAAAAGAAGAATGTAGTGGGCTGTGTTGGCGATGTAGGACAACTGGACAACAGTAGCACAATAAGGCAACAGAGTTGCGCAGAGCTGCGACAACATTGCAGGATTGCTGGAAAGGCTGGAGTAAGGTGTTGGTATGACTGAACAATGGTAGACAACAGAGCGAGGGGTTTTTAAGGCTGTGACAACGAGACAAAAGGCTGGAAGGAGATGGTGGAGGGTGTTGGGATGGATGGAACAGTGATGAAAACAATAGAGAGTGCTGGAATCACAAAGTTAGCGGAGAGTGAATGACAACGATAGCTGCGAAGGATGGGGGGAACTGTCAGACAACAAGAGGATGGCTGTCTTGGTCCGCGACAGCTAGGGTTGGTGATTGTAATTGAAAAACTGCAGAGAAAGCAATAAATATGCGCAGTTCTGGGGATTTTTCAGCAATGGAGGTCGGTCGGAAGCAACTTGGGGTGGATGCGAACAGGGATAGGGAAGATAATCACCACCTCGGGACCAAGATACGACCGTAGCACCACTCAAATTTTTGGAATGATAGAAACTACGATCTAAACCCTAATGCAACATATATATAGGAAAATACTAAAAACAAAGGAAAGGGAAAGAAGAAACCAACTAAAAATTGGAATAAAATCGAACGATTATCGTTCGGTTCGACTCTGCGCCTCTTACATGACCCAAGCGCCTCGTCAGGTCCAACAACGAGAGATTGTCGCGTCAAGCGTGAAGACCTCATTTGATCGTTGATGTAATTGTAGGAGATGCTGATAGACGAGCGTTGGACAATAAGTTTGAACTAGTAGGGGGCTAATAGGATCTTTGAAGTGAAGATTGATTAAATCAAGACAAGTGCAAAGAGCGAGCTGCCTGATGATTTGGCCAGAGTGGTGATTGGCGCAAATGTTGAAGATAGTGAGGTTAAGGAAGTATGAGAACTTTGGTGAGGAAACTAGAGGAGAGGTTGAGAGTCTAAATCATGACGAAATTAGAAAGTAAGGAGGAGACAACCTTTCAAAGATTTTGCGGAGGGAAAGATTTTAGATATTGCCATTATTGTTGATCATATCCTTGTTATGGGGCTTTAACCCCTTGTAGGGAGATTCAACCATTGTGAAGAAAATTTTGACATTTAACTTTTTATGTACTTGGCAACTGATGCAACCATCTCATCTCCTCAAAGAGCCACATCTCCATTTACATGAGAAAGAGGGAAGAGAGTGGAGGGGATGTAAATATGACAATTGAGGAGATTGGGTAGTGGAATTTTGGGAAGAGAAACATATTTTTCAAAGCGAAGGGGAAAAAAGAATGCCTTATTGACATATTTTATGGAAGGAGTACCACTTTTATGTTCTTTTGAAATCAAACTATAATAGTGACACTTATCACAACTATAGGGATATATTTTCCCTTTTTAAACCATATTTGAGTTATGTGTCATCCTTAATTATTTTCTCAATAGCATTCAAAATTTTTTCTCTTTGAAAGCATATTTTTTTCTTAATAATCTTTTGTAACTATTTAGACTACTCCATGAAGTCTTCTTGTCAATGTTCAATCTATTTCTAGACACTTTCAAAATTCCTGGACAATATCCTTAAAGGAATTAGCTATGTTACGTCATTTCATGACTGAATCAACTGAGTAATTTGAATTTTCTTATCCTAGAAATCTATATTGAAAAAGTAACAATATTTTGGCAATTCAAAATTTGCCGACTTATTCTAAGAAAATAAATTTTGATTTTTTTTAACTCCTATGTTACTCACCCATAATTATTACTCTATTTTGTGCTGAAAAAAACTCTTTTAAAATCATTGGACTTTTGAAAAAATTTTCCTTTCTTTCTAATTAAAATAAAAGCCTATATATGATTTGGTGGCACCATTTTTGTAAATGTTCCTATTTCTTAAATTATGTATTCACTATTGCAGGTTCATATGTTACTATTAAATTTAGTGTAACTTCTTTCATTGTACTTCTTTTTTTAATTATATGAACATCATAAATCCTCTCATAAGTCATCCTATGAGAACCTTTATATCCAATTAAGTTACCTATTATAAATGTTCTTCCTTTTTCAGGTTTTTTAATTATATGAACATCATAAATCCTCTCATATGTCATCCTATGAGAACCTTTATATCCAATTAAATTACCTATTATAATTGTTCTTCCTTTTTCAGTTATAGGTTGTAAGAGTTCATCTATTTTATTTCTCGAAATGCTATATTTAATTTGTCTTGTAATCTACACTTGTCTATAATAACTTCCCTGATGGTAATCACCTTATCGTTAATTCTTTTAACCTAATAATTTTATCTTTATGCTTTTTTTTACTATCCAGCGCATCTTGATTTATTTTCCTTTCTTTCAGATTTTAATGAAAAATTAATATTTATTTTTCATTGAATCACTGCATCCATCATTTTTTTTTGTCCTACTCGAAGGCGGCCTTAATTCTATGAGCTATATCTAATCTTAGTTATAGACTAACCAGCAACTTTTAATCATAGTTATGCGTAGTTGCTATACATTTTTTTGTTTTTTTGAAAATTTAATACATTATTTATGAACAATTACCCTGCCAGTAACCTTTCATCTTAAGAAAGCTATTGTTTTGCCTCCCCCTCTTCCTATTTTTAGCTTGCACTGTAAATAAAATTGCGTTCTTTACCTAAACCCTTGGATTCCCCCTTTTCTTTATTTTCTCGTAATGAATAATATGTATTCCTCTAATCCTTATTTCTATCAAAATTTTCACATTTTTATTTAATGGCCCTAATTTAATGTGTTGAATCAATTCTTTGTTTTAGAATTAGTCAACCATTACTTTTCACTACTATTATTTAAGCTGTGGCACGTCACTTATTAGTGACAGTCTTGCCAAACTATATGTATTTTTCACCACAATCGGGCCAATTTGTGATGTGGTATTTAAGGGTGATATCTTAGCAAACTTTGCCTACTTCTCAATGCCTCTTCTGAGGAATACTGTAACATTGACAAAATTTAAATTTGATTAATCTCATTAGTTTTGGCATATGTTTATGATTAGCTGACGATCCAATACAATTTTCAAAATTTTTCACCTGGGCTTGGGAATGAAAATGATAATCTTAATGCTATATTCTGGATATCAAATGTACTTTAGTAGATAGCTAATCCTATTGGATGCTTTAAGGATTTTTCATGTGATGGGTCACCTTATGGACCCCAACGTTACTTTGGATTCGTGTTCAGTGTTCTCAAAGTGCATTACAATAATGAAGTGATGATAGAACTATTTGCTTGTGGTAGGAAAATCTTAGGAATAGTAAAAATTTGAGAGCACTAGTCCCTCGAGTGCCTTCAATGGTGAAAATTGGTGAAGACGAGTTTGTTTTTTTTCATATCTGAGGCTAAAGCAGACAAAGGCTAGGGATTTGGAGAGAGCTTCACTTTCAGTTTGGTAGTTTATACTGTTGTAGTCTTGCTGAGTATTGCGCTTTAGCCTTGGCTCATTCAACTGACAGCTCAGTCATGATTGTTGCCTCCAGAGCTTCCTGGAAAACCTTTCAGTTCACATTGGCCAAGTGTTTTTGTTTTTTAGGGAGAGATTATTTGTGATGTTTAGAGGATTTTCACGATTGGATTGCTAAAGATTTCAATAGAAAGGTGTTTGAGGGTTGAGATTGAGTTATAGTTTATAAAAACAATTACTTGGTTACTTATTCTACACTTACCGGTGTTAACAGTATCATCACTTTGAAGTTTGAATTTGCTGGCAGCGATTTCAGCAACTATAGAGCTATATCCCTCTCCCTTCAATAATGGTAACCTTTCTAGCCATTTCATTGACAAACTGAACTTTCATAAGGATTCTGTAATGGCAGCAGGGAAACAAAAGTATGGCAAGATAAATTCCTCGTCGTGGTTGAGCTACAGCCGGAGCACCACTTGTACCCTCGAAGACGATCACCATCTCGGACGAGGGCGGGGGGCAGCCGAAGCACTACCTCGACATCGGATACAATCCTCAAAGGGAAAATATCAAGGCTAAAATCTGAATTCAGATATTAAAAAGCAAGGCACCTAACTCTAAGCACATCATTGGGGCAGCCGAAGCACTACCTCGACATCGGATACAACCCTCAAAGGGAAAATATCAAGGCTAAAGTCTAAATTCAGATATTAAAAGCAAGGCACCTAACTCTAAGCACATCATTCTCTATTTATAATAAGGCTAGACAATACTTAAAATAAGAAAATGAATAAAATCAAATTTTAGATTTTAGTAAAGACTTTTTAAAATAAGAAAGCATAATAAAATCAGATTTTAGATTTTAGGTTTTAGTAAAGACTTTTTAAAATAAGAAAGCATAATTAAATCAGATTTTAGATTTTAGGAAAGGTTTTTAAAATAAGAAAGAATGAAATTAGATCTCAGAATTTAGGAAAGAGGAATAAAAATATTCAGAAATTTAAGGAAAGAGGAATAAAAATATTCAGAAATTCAGATTTGGAAAGACTAATATTAGGAAGGTGCTAAGAAGGAAAGAGGGGAAGTGAAGAGGAGGGAAAGGGAGGAGCAGCAGCCCATTTGGAAAGACTTATATTAGGAAGGTGCTAAGAAGTAAATAGGGGAAGTGAAGAGGAGGGAAAGGGAGGAGCAGCAGCCTCCCTCCCTTTGAGGACCAGTCGGTCCTCCATAGTCCCCGCATCAATGTGTTTATGAATCTTCTCTTAATTGTTTGATTTCAAGAACGCCAACTTTTCAATTCAAATTAGTAGTGTTTGTTGTTATTCGATGACTTTGAATCTTTTCTTATTTGCTTCTGATTTATTCTCTTCAGGCCAATCTTGCTGATTCTTTCTTGGCTGATCTTGAAGAGTTATCTGACGATGAGGCTCCTGTACCTGTAAGCAGATAAATTTAACTCACATGGTTTTGCACCTATTTCTTATACGGGAATATACTTTTTTGGATTTCTAATTCTGCTTTTTGTGTGTAAGTCTTTCCTTTAATTTTGACATCATTAATGGTCATTTTATGTTCTCTTTTTTTTTTTTTTGCTAGGATGAAGATGAAGCAGAAGTTGGTGACATGGAAGAAGATGGAAATGATGATATGGATGACCTGGAAGCTCTCAATTACGATGAACTTGATAGTGTTTCAAAATTGCAGAAAACTCAAAGATACAATGATATTATGCAAGTAAGATGGCAAATGATCTTTATATATAATGCCAGTCTTTCTTCGATTCTCTACAAGTTAATATACTAAATTTTGGTGCAGTAAACTATATTTTGCTATACTCTTTTTCCCCCACTTCAAAGTTGTCTTTTGTTGACCGATTTGGCTTGTTGGTATCAATCTTTCTTTCTTGTTTTATTTATTTATATCCAATTATTAGCTTTATACATTCTGCATCTGTGAAAATCAGTTCCTGCAAATTATTTTATTGGTGTTTGAAAAATATGGAATTGCTAATGCGATCTACATCTCTTCATGCAGACAGTGTCTTTCAAAGTTTCAACGGCTTAAACTTGTCCCCTTTTATGGGTGCTACTTTTTCTTACTTCGAATATAGTTCTCTATTTTGATTAGTAATCACAAAATTTAGTTAAGCCACTACATGACTCGTCTTTTTCCAATCTTACTAAATTTCGATGAGCATTCTGTATTTTCTCAAGTTGCTTTTGCCTGTTCTCTTAATCACAGAAAGTTGAAGAAGCACTTCAGAAAGGTTCAGATATTTCTGGTCAAGGGATGGTTTTAGAGGATGACCCTGAGTATCAGCTGATTGTGGATTGCAATGGTTTATCGGTGGACATTGAAAACGAAATTATCATTATTCATAATTTCATACGTGACAAATACAGGATGAAGTTCCCTGAACTTGAATCTCTTGTCAATCACCCTATTGATTATGCTAGGTTGGTTAAAAAGATTGGTAATGAGATGGACTTAACGCTTGTGGACTTGGAAGGGCTTTTGCCCTCGGCTATTATTATGGTAGTTTCTGTTACAGCATCAACTACCAGTGGCAAGCGTCTTGCAGATGATGTCTTGAATAAAACAATTGATGCATGTGATCGAGCCCTTGCTCTTGATTTAGCGAAGAAAAAAGTACTGGATTTTGTTGAGAGCAGGATGGGATACATAGCCCCAAATCTTTCTGCTATTGTTGGAAGCGCTGTTGCAGCAAAACTTATGGGAACTGCTGGTGGTTTGTCTGCCTTAGCAAAAATGCCTGCTTGTAATGTACAACTGCTTGGGGCAAAGAGAAAGAATCTGGCTGGTTTTTCAACTGCAACTTCACAGTTCCGAGTTGGTTATCTTGAACAAACAGAGATTTTTCAGAGCACACCTCCTTCTCTGAGGACACGTGCTTGCAGACTTCTGGCTGCAAAATCAACCCTGGCAGCAAGAGTTGATTCAACAAGAGGAGATCCAACTGGGAAGACTGGAAGGAACTTACGCGAAGAGATACGTAAAAAGATTGAGAAGTGGCAAGAGCCTCCCCCTGCAAAGCAACCGAAGCCTCTGCCTGTTCCAGACTCAGAACCGAAGAAGAAAAGAGGCGGTCGCCGACTAAGAAAGATGAAAGAAAGGTGATTAAAGATGCTAATCTGAATCTTTTTTATAGGTTATTCATTTTAAAAAGTTGGTGGTCGCGATTGTTGAACTTTGCATTTTGTAGATATGCTGTTACTGATATGAGGAAGCTAGCGAACAGAATGCAATTTGGAGTTCCAGAAGAGAGTTCATTAGGTTGTACAATTAAACATTCTACAGCTCATGTGTTCTGTTTTCATTCTTATGACTGGCTTTTCTATCAGATGGTTTGAACTTCAAATATTTGATTATCATAAGAGTATTATCATATTTGCATTAGGACTGCTTTATCAAATCCGTTTTTCTTTTTGATCTTATTAGAATGGTTATGACATACATTCCTGTTTCTGATAGCCTGAACTACTTTTTCTTATATAAAAGTAGTAATCATCGGATCCAGAAGGTTACTTTGAAGGTCACTCTTTGTGCTAAAACCCTTTGAAGCTATCAACTTAAAGCTAAATGAGTTTAAAGCTTCCATTTCTAATTTGGGAGCTCATGTTTTTTGGTTGGATATGAGCATCAAAAACTCAAGCTGCCGAATGAATGCATCACCTTCTATTATGAATTAGTTGCATGTTCACCCTTTATTTGATAGAAGGTCTCATTTTATTTTTCTGCTTATTTTCACAATGTATTTCTTGAAGCACATTTTTTATTTTTGTGGCCAGGTTTTGGTTAAAGAAATTAAAATATATGTTATTTGTTCGGTAATAATTTATGAACTTGAGCTCTTTTCTTGTGACGGTTGACATCATACACAGACACACATTTATGCAAAGGAACTGCAGTATGCATTAGTGGAGTATAATTCATTTCATATGATCCCTTTTTTAAGAGTGTATTGATGATTAACTCTGATCTGTAAGCTAATGTATTTTAAAATCATTCATATTTTATTTAAAACATCCAACACTTCATGAAACTTTGATTGTTGAAAGGGGCAAGCCATTTAGCTTTTGCTGTTTCAAAGCAGTACTTTTTCGTGCATGTAAACAGGGGCAGTTTTCCACTAAACATGATCTTGTCCTGCAAATAAATGCTGTGTTAATCATGTCTATCATTTCCTTCTTGCTTTTTTTCTTCCTCTCTCCATTATGCCTCTTGCTGTTTTTCTTTGTAGCCTATGAAGATTTCCATTCTGCTTGAACATTTTGGAATTTTATATGGCATGTATTTTTCTATTCCTAGGTGATGGCTTGGGTGAGGGTTACGGCATGCTTGGTCAGGCAGGAAGTGGGAGGTTGCGCGTGTCAGTTGCCCAAAGTAAACTATCTACTAAAGCTGCTAAAAAGTATGTTAACTATATCATGTTTGTTGTTCTTTCAGAAACATTTATAATTTTTCTGGCTATCAAAAGGTGATATATGCTGTGAGTTTATTAGAAATAGAATAACACTTTTTAAGTCTATTTTTTTCTTTCAATAATACGGTCTGTTTTGTCTGGCATTGCATGTAAACCTTTGTTTTATTGATTTTTTTATTTGATTTTTTAAGGTTCAAGGAGAAAAGTTACGGAAGTAGTGGTGCTACTTCCGGATTGACTTCAAGTCTGGCATTCACACCTGTACAAGTGAGTATATTTTTCATCCGTTAATTTGCTGTTATTTTAAGTTACAACCTATACAAGCATTATTTTAATTGACTACATGTATATTCTTATCTATCCAGTTGTATTCTGCACCAGTTAAATTACTGTTATTTTGGTAAATTCATGTAAGCATTTGAGATGGCGAAGAATTTCAGACATATTTTGTGCTACTGCTAAGCACAATTATAAGGTGAAATTGAATTTGATGGCCAAAATCTGACTTTAAATTACCATGTGAATTCAAGATAGATTTCAGTATGCTGTATATGTGATGAGGATCAAATCACTTTCCATTTATTCTTTATAAGATGTGATTATTGTGTAATAAATATAAAATTTCTTAATTGTGAGGTTAAGGGCTAAAATATTTTGGGATGATTCAATTAGGATAGTGATCAAGTTGATTCTTGACTTTGGGCCTAATAGGTTCAAGTTTGAAACCACAATTGTAATCATTTTCTCATTCTTAGGATTTGTACATTAAATCTTCACTTGTGAGATCAAAGGGATACCACTCAATCATGGGATTGGTGGTTCGACAAATAGTTATCTTTAGAGTCCAAAATTTTTCAACTAATCAAGATTTGAATTTAAAACGACATTGAATAAAATTTGATTTAATTTTAGATGGTTTTAAATTTAGAACTTTGTTAAAATTTTATTTCCTAAACTAAGCAATGTGAATATGAGTAGGAATGAAATCTACTCATTCCTCTATATATTTGATAGAAAGCAATATATATATATATAATGTGAATATGAGTAGGAATGAAATCTACTCATTCCTCTATATATTTGATAGAAAGCAATATATATATATATAATGTGAATATGAGTAGGAATGAAATCTACTCATTCCTCTATATATTTGATAGAAAGCAATATATATATATATAATGTGAATATGAGTAGGAATGAAATCTACTCATTCCTCTATATATTTGATAGAAAGCAATATATATATATATAATGTGAATATGAGTAGGAATGAAATCTACTCATTCCTCTATATATTTGATAGAAAGCAATATATATATATATAATGTGAATATGAGTAGGAATGAAATCTACTCATTCCTCTATATATTTGATAGAAAGCAATATATATATATATAATGTGAATATGAGTAGGAATGAAATCTACTCATTCCTCTATATATTTGATAGAAAGCAATATATATATATATAATGTGAATATGAGTAGGAATGAAATCTACTCATTCCTCTATATATTTGATAGAAAGCAATATATATATATATAATGTGAATATGAGTAGGAATGAAATCTACTCATTCCTCTATATATTTGATAGAAAGCAATATATATATATATAATGTGAATATGAGTAGGAATGAAATCTACTCATTCCTCTATATATTTGATAGAAAGCAATATATATATATATAATGTGAATATGAGTAGGAATGAAATCTACTCATTCCTCTATATATTTGATAGAAAGCAATATATATATATATAATGTGAATATGAGTAGGAATGAAATCTACTCATTCCTCTATATATTTGATAGAAAGCAATATATATATATATAATGTGAATATGAGTAGGAATGAAATCTACTCATTCCTCTATATATTTGATAGAAAGCAATATATATATATATAATGTGAATATGAGTAGGAATGAAATCTACTCATTCCTCTATATATTTGATAGAAAGCAATATATATATATATAATGTGAATATGAGTAGGAATGAAATCTACTCATTCCTCTATATATTTGATAGAAAGCAATATATATATATATAATGTGAATATGAGTAGGAATGAAATCTACTCATTCCTCTATATATTTGATAGAAAGCAATATATATATATATAATGTGAATATGAGTAGGAATGAAATCTACTCATTCCTCTATATATTTGATAGAAAGCAATATATATATATATAATGTGAATATGAGTAGGAATGAAATCTACTCATTCCTCTATATATTTGATAGAAAGCAATATATATATATATAATGTGAATATGAGTAGGAATGAAATCTACTCATTCCTCTATATATTTGATAGAAAGCAATATATATATATATAATGTGAATATGAGTAGGAATGAAATCTACTCATTCCTCTATATATTTGATAGAAAGCAATATATATATATATAATGTGAATATGAGTAGGAATGAAATCTACTCATTCCTCTATATATTTGATAGAAAGCAATATATATATATATAATGTGAATATGAGTAGGAATGAAATCTACTCATTCCTCTATATATTTGATAGAAAGCAATATATATATATATAATGTGAATATGAGTAGGAATGAAATCTACTCATTCCTCTATATATTTGATAGAAAGCAATATATATATATATAATGTGAATATGAGTAGGAATGAAATCTACTCATTCCTCTATATATTTGATAGAAAGCAATATATATATATATAATGTGAATATGAGTAGGAATGAAATCTACTCATTCCTCTATATATTTGATAGAAAGCAATATATATATATATAATGTGAATATGAGTAGGAATGAAATCTACTCATTCCTCTATATATTTGATAGAAAGCAATATATATATATATAATGTGAATATGAGTAGGAATGAAATCTACTCATTCCTCTATATATTTGATAGAAAGCAATATATATATATATAATGTGAATATGAGTAGGAATGAAATCTACTCATTCCTCTATATATTTGATAGAAAGCAATATATATATATATAATGTGAATATGAGTAGGAATGAAATCTACTCATTCCTCTATATATTTGATAGAAAGCAATATATATATATATAATGTGAATATGAGTAGGAATGAAATCTACTCATTCCTCTATATATTTGATAGAAAGCAATATATATATATATAATGTGAATATGAGTAGGAATGAAATCTACTCATTCCTCTATATATTTGATAGAAAGCAATATATATATATATAATGTGAATATGAGTAGGAATGAAATCTACTCATTCCTCTATATATTTGATAGAAAGCAATATATATATATATAATGTGAATATGAGTAGGAATGAAATCTACTCATTCCTCTATATATTTGATAGAAAGCAATATATATATATATAATGTGAATATGAGTAGGAATGAAATCTACTCATTCCTCTATATATTTGATAGAAAGCAATATATATATATATAATGTGAATATGAGTAGGAATGAAATCTACTCATTCCTCTATATATTTGATAGAAAGCAATATATATATATATAATGTGAATATGAGTAGGAATGAAATCTACTCATTCCTCTATATATTTGATAGAAAGCAATATATATATATATAATGTGAATATGAGTAGGAATGAAATCTACTCATTCCTCTATATATTTGATAGAAAGCAATATATATATATATAATGTGAATATGAGTAGGAATGAAATCTACTCATTCCTCTATATATTTGATAGAAAGCAATATATATATATATAATGTGAATATGAGTAGGAATGAAATCTACTCATTCCTCTATATATTTGATAGAAAGCAATATATATATATATAATGTGAATATGAGTAGGAATGAAATCTACTCATTCCTCTATATATTTGATAGAAAGCAATATATATATATATAATGTGAATATGAGTAGGAATGAAATCTACTCATTCCTCTATATATTTGATAGAAAGCAATATATATATATATAATGTGAATATGAGTAGGAATGAAATCTACTCATTCCTCTATATATTTGATAGAAAGCAATATATATATATATAATGTGAATATGAGTAGGAATGAAATCTACTCATTCCTCTATATATTTGATAGAAAGCAATATATATATATATAATGTGAATATGAGTAGGAATGAAATCTACTCATTCCTCTATATATTTGATAGAAAGCAATATATATATATATAATGTGAATATGAGTAGGAATGAAATCTACTCATTCCTCTATATATTTGATAGAAAGCAATATATATATATATAATGTGAATATGAGTAGGAATGAAATCTACTCATTCCTCTATATATTTGATAGAAAGCAATATATATATATATAATGTGAATATGAGTAGGAATGAAATCTACTCATTCCTCTATATATTTGATAGAAAGCAATATATATATATATAATGTGAATATGAGTAGGAATGAAATCTACTCATTCCTCTATATATTTGATAGAAAGCAATATATATATATATAATGTGAATATGAGTAGGAATGAAATCTACTCATTCCTCTATATATTTGATAGAAAGCAATATATATATATATAATGTGAATATGAGTAGGAATGAAATCTACTCATTCCTCTATATATTTGATAGAAAGCAATATATATATATATAATGTGAATATGAGTAGGAATGAAATCTACTCATTCCTCTATATATTTGATAGAAAGCAATATATATATATATAATGTGAATATGAGTAGGAATGAAATCTACTCATTCCTCTATATATTTGATAGAAAGCAATATATATATATATAATGTGAATATGAGTAGGAATGAAATCTACTCATTCCTCTATATATTTGATAGAAAGCAATATATATATATATAATGTGAATATGAGTAGGAATGAAATCTACTCATTCCTCTATATATTTGATAGAAAGCAATATATATATATATAATGTGAATATGAGTAGGAATGAAATCTACTCATTCCTCTATATATTTGATAGAAAGCAATATATATATATATAATGTGAATATGAGTAGGAATGAAATCTACTCATTCCTCTATATATTTGATAGAAAGCAATATATATATATATAATGTGAATATGAGTAGGAATGAAATCTACTCATTCCTCTATATATTTGATAGAAAGCAATATATATATATATAATGTGAATATGAGTAGGAATGAAATCTACTCATTCCTCTATATATTTGATAGAAAGCAATATATATATATATAATGTGAATATGAGTAGGAATGAAATCTACTCATTCCTCTATATATTTGATAGAAAGCAATATATATATATATAATGTGAATATGAGTAGGAATGA